TATTTATGTACAGAGGTTGTGAATAGATCTCATGTGGAGCCCTTGTATATTTTTAAAAGACAGAAAAGTACAACTAAAACTAAGGAACTTCACACCTTTCTTCTTCTCACTTCATACTGTGACCCAGCAGAAGATATTCTCACAAATAAAGGCATTCCCTGTAAATGACATCAACATGGCTGCAGGATCATCTGTCCATTCCATTACGTTGTTGTTGTTGTTTTCTATGATGTTAATCCAGTGTGAAGAGCTCTTAACTTTCCCTCTCTCCACGTTCTGTAGGTCTCATAACAACAAGCTTCAGTCTTCTTCAGCCTCTTAAACAGCATCACACACTTTTCAAATTAAATGCACTTACCAAGAATATGGCTTTTCTGAACTGTAACTGTGTCGGACTTGTTTGGGATTCGCTCCTCTGACTGTTGGTGCGGCCGACAGTGCTGCTTTTCCAGCACTGTTCAGGCGAGGCTTCCCCTTCTGTGGACTGTCATCAGTGGGACTGTACTGAGGAACATTTTCAGAAGAAGGTTTACCTCAGAGATAAGACTCTTAAAGAGCTCTCATGTTTCTATGTTCTTTATTTCTGATTTTTTTAAAGGTTTTTTCATTGTCATTGATCTCTCAGGCCGTCCTTGTGGTCATCATGTCCAAGAAAAGGAAAATATATCATAACAACATAATGTATGGAGACCTTTGTGTCTAAAGTTGTTCTCACAGTGAAACCAACATGTTTTCTTCCATTTCCACTAACTGAGTCTGAAGTGGTGTAAGAAACTGCTAAACACCTGGACATCAGCCGTCTGCTTGGTTAAACTTCTGGAACCTACTGACAGTATGGTTATAAGCTATTGTAAATGAGTTACTTTGCAGTAGTGAGTGACTAAGAAGGATGAAACCGTGTATTTGAAGTTTCCCGCCTCCTTTGTAGAAAAAAGAAAGAAAAGAAAAAAGTGTCAGATTTCCACTTGATATTCATTTTTTTGTATTACAGTTGAAGAAATATTGATGTATATGGAACTTAATAAATAAAACAAATGCTGATTTCATCATCTTGTAAATTAACAGCTAATTCTGGTATCACTAACTAACATATGTGATTTTTCTAATTAAAGGGATAGATAAAATGTCCTAGGTCAGTTTAAAACACACTGTTTATTTAAACTATAACATAAACTAAGACCAATTTCCAGTACAATAAATAAATTATATTGGAAATTAAATAAATCCGTAGACATGCCTTGAACCAATCACATTTTTTTACAGTAAGTGGTAGTGGATTACAAACGTGTGGGAATGTACTGCCAAAATCTCACTCACTTGGTGGATATAGATGTTTTTGGATTGGACAACTTTTTGACTTTTAATTGACAAACAAATCCAACTCCCCTAATTTCCCCTGAGCAAAATAGTTATCCTCATTTTTGGTATCTTGCAACACTGCCCTTAGATCTCAGTCAATGCATTTCATTTGGGGTTACCGTCATTTTCAAGTTTTGCAGTGCTAAATGACCAGAAGTGAACTCAACGTAGCTGAAGGTGTCTTTCTTTACAATTGTTTTATAAACAAGAAATTGAAACTTTTGTAGCATTTGAATACTGTTAAATACATAAATAAATTAATGGTGAAGATTTAAAGTAAGTCTGTGTTTAAGTCGGAAACATTTAAATCATCATGGCGGCCACGTACAGAAGACGAGACCATCTATATTTGGGAATGACAGCAACTTCACTTTAGTCCGGCCATTAAATCATCGGTAAAATGTAATATAGTATTTGGATTTACCTCAAACAGAAACGTTACATGCGTTAATTTTCTTTGAATCTCAACAGTATAACTGTAATTTTCATTGGAGACTTTTCTTCTGAAGCTGAGGATTTAAAAGGGCCGAGTGACTTCTCGCGATGTTTAGTGCCCGACGTCATTTCCGGTAAGCGTCTGTATTTTTTAAACAGCCCAATAAAGTGTGTCGCGCGATGCTTTAGCTCGAACAGCCCAATCAGGAGTCTTGGTTCTACGAGTTTAAAGGTCTGTGCGGCACTTCCCAGAGGTTACAAGCTCTGCTTCAACAGAAGGTAAGGGAACCAGTCTGAACTTTTCTCAGTGATGTGTTTTTAATTAAGGATACGTTTTGACACAATGTCCGTTTTGTTCTGTATTTCCATCCATAGTTTGGTAACTGTGTCTCTAAGAGCACATGCCGTTTTCAATGTGCGTGTTAGTCGTTTGCCTGGATTCAGGAACACGAGGTATTCCTGAGGGTGGCATTTATTCTCATTTTTATTTCTTTTCGCAGGAAATATCAAGCATTACATCTAACTTCTATTGTTAAACGACTTTTCTGTCGCTTTACCGAAAATGTCTGAGAATTGTGCTCGTCTGAACAAGTTTAAGAACAAAGGCAAGGACGCAAATGTGAGTATTTCTTTTTTTAAACAAAAACGATAGTTTTAAAACATGATGAAAGTTATTGTTTGAACCGTTTGGTTCTTAAAATACGTAGGAGCTTCGACGCAGGAGAGTTGAAGTGAACGTGGAGCTCCGTAAAGCCAAGAAAGATGATCAGATGTTTAAAAGAAGGAATGTGGCCGCATTTCCTGACGAGGCCACGTCTCCTCTCCAAGAAAGGAGCCAGAACTGTCAGGTATGTATGACTACGAAGAGGCTGAAAACAGCCTGAAATGTGTTAGTCATCTCGGAACCAGCGTCCAATGCAAATAAACTCCGGGTTCTTACGGAAATCCATGACGATTACTGACAAACTTCTCTTGGGCTTTTAAGTGAAAACAAAGTTCACGGTAGTATTTGTACTGTAATCTATACTTCACACTTTTCTTCACTATATTAGACTATATGTACACAGACGCGAGCAGCAGGAAAGTCCACACCTCGTTCCTGATGTTAACGAGTCTGTCAGATTTTAAAAATCATTATATCGGTTGCACTTGTATTTGGTTTCATTTTTTTTAATAGGCTTCTTTTCTGTTCTTTTTTTAACCTCTGGGTGTCGCCCTACAACTTGAGTAGTATATGGTCTGCACATTTTAAGGTTGCATATAAGATTTGGTGATATCGTTTCACAACGTTTCACAGTTAAAAATTCTTACCCAAGTGTTAAAGGGTTAGGAGCAGGTATTTATTTGAAATGATCCAGCTATTAACCATGTAATTGTTGTGAACTACGTCCAGTCAGTGGTACAGAGAACATTCTATATTGAAATGAATTGTCCATTAAAGGCATTAGTACCGGTACTCTTGTGTCTCTGCAGCAAATACACTTTCCTTCTTTTCTGTGTTTGCATCGAAAATGTTGCTAATGGTGTGAACACATTGCAGTCAACCAGGCAGTGGACAGTGGAGGAGATCGTTGCTGGAGTTCTGAATGGTAATACGGAGTCCCAGCTCCAGGCTACGCAGGCTGCCCGGTAATAGCAGTACTTCTGTAAAAATGTATAAATGTAGATTGGCTCACAACCTCCACTGTGACTCATTTCTACTGCACACTGATGAAAAACAGGAAGCTGCTGTCTCGGGACAAGCACCCCCCCATTGACCAGATGATCAGTGCTGGTCTGATCCCCAAGTTCGTTGCATTCCTGGGGCTGTCAGAGTGTCCACCAATCCAATTTGAAGCTTCCTGGGCTTTGACCAACATTGCCTCTGGGACATCTGATCAAACAGCTGCTGTCGTGGAGGGTGGAGCCATTCCTGCCTTTGTCAATCTGATCATATCCCCTCACCAGCATATCAGCGAACAGGCCGTCTGGGCACTGGGAAACATTGCTGGTAAATGACCAAAAATATGTCAATTTGTAAATAGAACATAAAATAATGACTTACAAGCTAAAGAGAGTATATTTTATTTTTATCAGGTGATGGATCATCTCTCAGAGACATGGTCATCAAACATGGAGCTATCGCACCTCTGCTCAGTCTAATGGCCGTCCCAGATTTGTCTGTGTTCAATGTAAGTTATTGCTAGATATGGTTTGAATGGTACACTACAACATGTTCTGTTATCCACAAGAGGGTGCCAAACAACATTGCCTGTCTAATGCCCATTGCGCCTTGTCACCTGATTGCTCCACAGACTGGCTATGTGAGAAACGTGACGTGGACTCTATCGAACCTCTGCCGCAACAAGAACCCCTCTCCACCTCTGAATGCCGTACAGCAGATCTTGCCTGCTCTCATTCGTCTTCTGCACCATGATGACCTGGAAGTCTTGGCCGATGCTTGTTGGGCAATTTCTTACCTGACGGACGGGTCGAATGATCGCATTGAGGTGGTGGTCCAAACTGGCATCATTCCTCATCTTGTTAAGCTGCTTGGCTATGACGAGCTGTCAATCATTGTATGTATACATCACATTGTCTTTGCCTTTCTTCAACTCTTTACCTCATCTCATACTGTTTAATCTCACACTTCCTTGTGACATGTAGACCCCCGTACTGCGGGCCATTGGCAACATTGTGACTGGGACAGATGAACAGACTCAGGCTGTTCTCAATGCGGGGGCTCTGTCCAAATTCTCGCGTCTACTGCGCCACAAGAAAGCTAACATCCAGAAGGAGGCAGCGTGGACGTTGTCCAACATCACTGCAGGGAGAGACGCACAAATCCAGGAAGTCATAGACACTGGCCTTGTTCCTTATCTGATTGAAACTCTTGTACATGTAAGTTTTTATTTATTTATTTTTGCCTTTTTCCAACTGAACTCACATTTGTTTGAGCTTTTTGAAAATCATCTACATGGTTGTGTTTATGTGCAGGGAGACTACAAAACACAAAAAGAAGCTGTGTGGGCTGTTACTAACTTCACCAGCGGGGGCACTGTTCAGCAGTTGGTTTATCGCGTTCAAGCTAATGTGCTAGAGCCTCTACTCAACCTACTTTTGTCCAAAGACAGCAAAACCATCCTTGTCATCTTAGATGCCATCACCAACATCTTCATGGTCAGTGCTGTCGTCTTACGATTGTATTTGCCGCTTCCTTAATTTATAAAATAAATTAAAATAATGGTTCTTGCCTGTTCAAGGCTGGAGATAAAATTGGGGAGTCGGACAAGCTAAGTCTCATGGTTGAAGAATGCGGAGGACTGGACAAGATTGAAGGCCTGCAGTCGCATGAGAACGAGATGGTGTACAAGGCAGCGCTCAATCTGATTGAAAAGTACTTCTCAGAGGAGGTAGGCCTTTAAATGTCTGCACTGATTTTAGAATGGTGTTGTGATCACTTTATGATTATGCTTTGTTTGTTTTTAGGAGGTGGAGGTGCACTGTGTAGTTCCAGAAGCCACCACTGATGGTTATGCTTTTCAAATCAATGAAAACCAAAGCACTTTCAATTTCTAAATGTTTTTTCTTTACTCCAGACTGTACTCTGCTCTGTCTTTGTTCTGTTCTTTCTGTTTCCTTGTATGTACTGTACATTTTTTATTGTGACTGAAAAACATGACTGTAAATAAAGGTGTCAGATAATGTGGTTTGTTTTTTTCCACTATGTTAAACTATCACTGACAGTTGTACATTTGAAGGTGTGTCAGATTTCTAAGGTTATTATTTGAGTGTGTGGTTATGGACAAGGCAAAAATAGAGCTGGGACATGACCGGACAGTCTACAGACAGGACAGTCTACAAACTCGGACTAAGTAAATATTTCAAATCAGAAAACTACCAAACTGGTAATGGCTACTGTACCTGCTAAGGAACGGTGTGTTCTATCTATGATCCATGGTATTATACAGTATCGTGAGGAGTATTCTACATGAACTGTTCAGTGAAACATCTGACTGGAGCTGAGCCTAGAACCTCAATCAGATTTAGTCAATTTCACTAAATTCCAACCATGTACATCTTTTTTTTTCTCCTGAACTAAGAAAACACCTCCAGTTTCTTACAGTTGTAACTGTTCGTGACGGGATCTGGCTACATTTGTTAGAGGCGAACCCACGTAATCAGAGCCGAGAACTGTCGGTACTTTAGGACACGCATTCGCACTCTGAAGTGTGTGTTATAACGATCAGGTGCCACATGCTGGAGACTCTGTCTGACTCCCCCCAGAGCCTGTTGTCGTCACTGGTCAGCTCCTACCAGCAGGATCCTGAGGAGGGATCTAAAACCGAAGCTTCTCCACAGTTGAGCTCTGACCGAGCGTAGAGAGGAGCAGGGCTCAGTCCGGGGCAGACGAGCCTCCTTCCCGAAGATGTGACGGCAAGCACCGCGTAACAGCGTCTCTGCGTAGCTGCACTTTTCCTCTGGGCGGAAGTCAGCGTTTCCAGTAAATGCACTCTGCAGCGGTTCTCCAATCGCTTTATCCCCCCACATTTTCTGTCGTATTCGTGAGCTATCGCAGTGGCTTTCGAGTCCACATCCGGGCCACAATGCTTTGACTCCATTATTGTCCGAAGCTGGCGGAGCGGTTGATGATAAGCTTTATTTTAATTTCAATTTTAGCGACACAGACAGACCTTATGAAGTGCGTTGAAGACTGGGACTGAAAGGACATGTCGAACCAAGGAGTGCGTCGGAATGGGCCGGTGAAGCTGCGACTAACAGGTAGCTAACAAGCCTTTAAAAACCCCGACTGCACACACACACACACACACACACTCTTCTCTCTCTCTTTCTCTCTCTCTCTCTCTCACACACACACACACACACACACACACACACACACACACACACACTCTCTCTCTTTCTCTCACACAACACACTCTGTTCCACACACACACTGGTCTCGGTGTATTTGTTGGATGTGATTACAAACATGGCAAACAAGGCATTACAGAGCTCTTTAAATGCTAATATGGTAATAATAACTGAGTTTTCTCAGAGCGGGTTTCAATATCACTGCTCTTGGAGATCAGACCGTGTGACTGTCGCCAGCTACAGCTACCTCACCAGTCTTTAACCTGTGGCCGGACGCTAATCGATGTAGCTTCATGTTGTACCGTAATGTTAGTATTTGCTCTAAAAAATGCCGTGTCAACACAAAATGAATTCGTGTGGTTTAAATATGCATTAAGTAGACGTAGAAAGGTGCAGAACAGAGGTTAGCTTAGCACACAGGCTGTCAGTTAGCTACAGCAAACCTGTGTTCCAGAACTGAGCTGACAGGCATTTTCACAGACTACCTAACTAACCCTAATCCTCTATTGGTCTCGTCAGGAAATTAAGGACCGTACATTATATGAACCATGTGCCACCACAGACAAAAGTATGATTTAGAACTAATCAGAAATATTAAAAAAGACAACACCATTTCTTTTGTAAAGTTAATATTACTAGCACCACCCTGGGTCACCTGCGCTTTAACTGGTAGGATTGGCAACTTTAAGTGTTGTTCCTGTTGGTGCAGTGTTTTAACTGCACTTCAGACCAGATGCTATGCTTGACACTAAGTTAGCCTCATAAAGTCTGGATTCTAGGGCTAGTGTGAGTGCTACTGTTCCGGGCCTGGGTTCCGTGCTTGATTGTCTGCGAGTCTCCGACTGGTGCAGTCAACCCCAGGGATCGAAAAAGTTCTATCGATCAATAAATGAAGGATGGCAGAACTGATGGCAGCCAGGCTTCGGCTTGCTTTCCTTCGGGGTATTGTGAGTGTGGGTCAAAGGGGGGGACAGTACAAGGGTGACATCCATGCTGCAGGGTACTGCACAGAACCACTGGCAGCAGCGTGAGAGGGTTCTGTGGTCAGGCAGCACTGTTAATGCCATTAAAAACAAAATGCAGCCAACATTCCTCTGGTCTTTTGGAAGAATAGTGTGTATATAGGAAATGGACAGTTACTTGCAGGCTAATGTTGTATAGAGAGGGTGTTGCTGTGGGTGTGGTCTGTGAGTTGTTGATCAGTGGTTGAGCCTTTCATCTTAACTTTTTTCCATTGTCGCTCCTTTTACCCTCTGCACTCTGTCATTTGTGTGATTGGTCACTTAAATATGACATTGTAATTTGAGCAACTCATAATCCAGCACACTGTGACAAGGTCACAAGGTCAGACCCATATCCAAAGAGTGTGGCCTCATGTACACATTTTCTTTGACCACTGACGATGGTTGGACACTGATGGTTGGACGATCATTCATCCCATTTCAAACATGGATCATCTCAAGTTTAAGACAAATCTTAGTGTCTGTATAAAACCTGGGGTGCAGGTCTCCTCAGAGGGTTAGGGTTCCTGTAAAGACTTGAAGAGGTCTTGGTTGGATCACTATCTCTCTCCTTCCCTCTCTCTCTCTCTCTCCCTCCCCCTCTCTCTCTTCCTTCCTCACTCTCTCTCTCTCTCTCCCCCAAGGTTCTGGGGGACCTGCACCAGCAAGGGCTTTAAGAACCACCAACCTGGAGTACCATTTTCACCACTGGTACTGTTCTTTTACACCTTACTTTAAACAGTGGTGGACCATGTTAATGTAGTGAACTTTTCCTAAACGTAGCTGATTTCTGGCAGAGAACCTTATGTCATCATAACGTGTACTATTTAAGCTCTTGTGACATTTTTTATATTTAACCCAGAAATAAATCATTTTTCTGACAGTAAACCATTACTTCTGAATGTGTAGCTGGAAGTCACTAAGGCATCGTGATGATTTTCGCTGCTGTCTGTCAGCGATGTCACTCTATCCATGTCATGAATGGCTCTTACCGCCACGGTTAGAGACAGACTGCAGCGGTTTCCTGGTGGAATCCAAAGAATGTGAATCCACAGTGAAAAATGGTGAAAGCAGGACCTGGAAGACCTAAGCAGCTCTGTTCAGCCTGGCAGGATAAAAACACTCCTGTTGCCAACAATGGAATTCCATGAAAATGTTTGTCAGACCCTCTTTCTGCATCTTGTAGTTTTCCTTTTTGCGACACTGCTACAAATGTCTCTTTGTCTTTTTGCCGTGTGTTGTTCTGTTGTTCTCTATACAGATGCTTTGTCAGAAAGGCAGTTGTTTAACCCGAAAGACGTCCCCATTTGACTCCGTCTTGCTTCTACCCTTTAGTCTTTGTCAGGGGTCTCCACCGCGTCACTTTTAAGCTACCAGTAGCTCGTCGCCCCTTGCCAAGGAGCTCACCAAAGGACTAATGAATCAAACAAACATAGACAACTTAAGTGGTCGCTCAGCAAGTCTGCTTCATCCAGTCAAAATAGACAGTTGTCCCGCCCCCTTCTGAAACAAAGTGTTTGTTTGCCATTCAGCTATCTATCAAAACTTGTGCTGCTGTTACTCTTGATGAGTCGGTGGTGACGTGAGATGAGCTGGAGTCGTGGCATGTGTCCAAACCAATAGACGCTGTTGTTGGCCACAGTGCATGTCAAAACCCAACGACTGCATGAGAAGAACTGGACCAAATATAATAATGTACAGGAGAACACCACCATTTCAGGAACAATGTTGGCAATAACCCAAACAGTAACTAGACTTTTATTTATTTTAGTCAGTTTTTATGTACAATCAAGTTAAACAATAGCACATTCTCAAACCAATCAGTAATTGTTTTGAATAAATGTAATTTCATTTTCAAAATGTGTAGTTCTTTGGGAGGCGGGTTAGTGCAAATATTACACAAGTGCATATTATGTATCATTTTTGTTTTGAAGTGTGTTGAAGAATTTTGAATATTATACAGGTGCAAAATTAGTTTCATTTTTGTTGATGATTTGTGTTGTATGTGAGAAATACATTTTTTGGGATCCAGTTGTGTGGAAAAATAACTTGAATAAAGGAAATGATCAAAACTAAACTGTGTAACATTTTACTCATTTCATTGTTTTGACAAATCATTAGTGACAATGTAATTGTGCTAAGAGAGAGTTTTCTCAGTGAAGAATCGGGGGTTTGATAGTGTCTCCTGTATCCAAGTGGTACAATGTCAATACAGACCATAAAATAAATAAATAAATATTTTTTAAAATGTTGACCAATTAAGCTGTTTTAATGTTTTATCGTGCTATTTTTGGCCAGTAGACGGCGACATTCTTCAGAAAATAAAATAAAAAAATAAAAAACGGCTTATTTGGTCAAAATAGAGAAACACCATCATTATTATTGTTATTGATAACAATAAAAATAATAATACTTTGTTGATGTTTTAATAAAAATGTGATGTGGCCACAGTAACATTGTTAATTTTTAGGCAAAGAAAGTTTATTGAGTTTGTTTGTTGGAATTGAGCTATGAAAATAAATGTTCCATTAGTAGCTCTCAGCCATTTTTATTTTATAAAAGTGGCTCTTGGAGAACAAAAGGTTGGAGACCCCTGGTCTACATGGTCCAGCACCAGTAAGACCACTGCTATGAACTGCCGGTATGACCTGTTTTTATACTCTTATCTGACGTTGTTGCTGCAGGTGATGGTCTGTACTGGAGATGAGTTTTGACACTGTGATGGTTGGCTGTCTTTTAACAGACCTGTAGCCGCCTGTGCTGTGGCCGTCTCTCCTCTATGACAAGCCCTCGTCCATTTGAACCAGATGTAGCAGATGTTTCCCTGCAACTGAAGTGAAAAAACATGTCAAGCAAACTGCTAAAACTAACACTAGTGGTACGAATTGCCCCTTGAATAGATGGGGTAAATTTACATTATTCCCCACAGCTGATCACTGCTATATTGATACTCACAACAACGTCAGTGGAGCCATTAATAATTTAATGAAGACACGACTCATTACCTGTCAGATCATTCCTGATTCCTGTCAGCAGATGGTGCTCATGGCATCATTTGGCTCCAGTATGACTCCATAGAGCATCCGTCCCACTAATCTTCAACTCTTCTCCCTGAAGACATGTCTCAGTCTTCGCCCCCCCAGTCTGATTACTTCTCACAAATGTTTGCATTGAACTTCCAAATAGAGTGGTGTGTGCATGACTGTTCCAATTTATTTCCATTTTTCTCTTTGCTAAGATTTGAAGTCTGACTTGTTAGACATATGGTTTGTTCATCTGAATTCTTTGGCACAATGCAGAGCAGCCAGGAGTGCTATCTCAGTGGGATTCCCTAGAATTCTCCATTCACAATTCCACCCCTTCCTCTCTGAGTCATTCCCGTTCTTTCCGACAGTTGAGTTCTTCCCCGTCAAATAATATTTCAATCCCACCTTTATTTTCTCAACCTCAGCCTGTTTAATGCTCTCTCTCTCTGTTGGTGTGATGTGTTTTTAATGGTGCTGCAGGAGATTACTTTTTAATGTTCTCTCCTTAGCACCGACGCTGCCTAAAAAAAGCACAGTGGAACCTTGGTTTTAGAACCTCATTTGTTCCTGAAAATTTCAAAAGCTGGAACCATTTCCTTCTTCATAGTTCATCAATGTCACATGGATGAATCGGTTCCTGGTTCCTGGATGATTGTTGATTCAGACTTTTTCAACAGTATTTTGCAAACAGGTTCAAACAGTAAACCAGTGAAAATAATTAGCAAAAAAGATCAAGATCAACACAAGTGAATAAAGAATGACGCTATAAATAGAAGAGGTCATTTCTTGGTCCTTACGGCCGCTGAGGAGTCCTGATTGGACAATGTTCACTTCACTTTCTTACTAATGATTGTCTCTGAAATCCTGTGGTCGTCCGACT